TAAAGCGCATTCTTTTAACCGAAATAGCTTTTGACGTCACCAATGGATATATTTCTTGCAGACGTCTCAATCGCCCTCTTCCGACAATCCGTTCTTGAGGTTCCGATCACGATAAGAGGCGGAGGAGGAGGGCTATGGTGGGTAGAATGGTAGAAATTAATTCTACTCAGTACAATGAAGGAATAAAACTAGTGCCACTCCCCCCCCCCCCCCCCCATACTTTAATAAGAGGAGAAAAAGAAGGGTAGTAGTTGGTAGAAAACGGTCCCTTTCGTTGAGACCTTTAATTAAAATACAATGAGAGATAAAATTAATGTTATCCCCTCAAGCCCCGTCGCTCACTGATCTCTAGAAAGGGTCGCATGGGAAAGTTATAGTTTGTACAAACCAATTTATTTCGATGGGACCTTTCATTAGAATACCATAAAGGGCAGAACATGTGTTTACCTCCCCCCCCCCCATTTTCTAAAGTTTTACTTGGCACCACTAAATGCATGCGTATGCAAAATCTGAAACCAATTGGTTATCGTATGTCAAAGTTATGCACGTTTTACTATCAAAAACAGCATCTCAAGAAGTATGTAATTCGATTCCGTTTTACACAGCGAAATTTGATGGCCGTCTGGCACACCTTCAAGGTATAGGCTACCTACTGCAAAAAATTCCAGGACTCTAGGACAATCCCCCTAGAAGTAGTTCGAAACGGCAGAAGTGGGTCCGCACGGACGGACAAAACGCAAACAATAGCACATTTTTTTTAATTCTTAAAAAATGCGCTAAAAATAGAATATATTGTTTTTTTACGATTGAATACGCAATAAAAAAAATACAAGTACTATTTAAAACTATTTAAAACAAGCAAAGTAGCACCTTTTTGTGACTAAAAAAGCGCATTTGAAATTTTTTATAAATCTTCCACAATTACCGCATAACTGAAAATGTCAAATATTATTTTATTTTTCCTCGCTTTAACGGTCGGTCCCATTAGCACTTTTTTTTGGAAAATCTGAATCTCCATAGCACGCTAGATGTAGAAGCCACATGCTACTTTTACTTTATTATTTATTGTGGATGTCATATTGGATTTTTACTGAAATAGAGGAAAATCAAATGTTTCTCAACAAAGTATTCACGGATAACTAGAACTTGCAAAATTTCAAATGCGTTTTTTGTTCAAAAAATTTAACCTACACTTTTAGTATTTTTTGTAGGAAATTTAATGAGCTTTCATTTTGTAAATATAAGTGATTATGAAAAAGTTGATGATTCAAAGATATTCAGGAAAATCCAAAAGAAGGAACTTAAGATCCACAATAGCGGCATATGTAGCGCACCCGCGCCAAATAACATTTTGGCCAAATTTCAAGCACTATAAGTTTTTTTTTATTTTTATTTGGTGATTTTGGTAGTAGATTGACTGAGCAAATAATAATAATATAATAATAATTTTAAAGATGTAAACCTAACTAAATCACTTGATTATGCAATTTCCAACACATTGGTTTGGAAAGCAACTCAATTTGTACAATCGAGGATGGCTAATTTGCAAGAATAGAGTCAACCTTTCCACTTACTCATGCCGAACAGAAGATAAATATCATATTTCGAGAAACGATAACATCTTCGATTAGCGTCTAGAATTGTGTCCGTGGGTCCGTTACAAAATCCATGTTCAAATCTTATATAGTAGGTACTCGAGTAGGTATAGTTTTGGATCGACACTGGAGACACTTTTTGCCTGGGGAGATCTTTTTCCTGAAGTTCTGCGGAGATTCTTCCGGGCCCAAGGAAGAAAATTTCCACAAAGTCGTTTAGCCTTACTAAAAAGCCTCTACTTTTATTTAGTAGGGCACCGTTTTCCAATGCCGGTAGCTGTTTGGCAAGGAGTTACTTTTGGTAGTAGGTTTTTGCATACACTGTACTCTTTTGTCTATTTAATTAATTGCCTAACTAGTGTTTTACAAGTTGGTGGAAAAATAGGAGTTGTTTTTCTATTATATGATGGACTCCCTTGGAAGCCTACTTGGAACGTACGTTTGGGTTACCTTTTTATGCCATTATTTTTATACTGGCAGAAGATCAATCGAATCGCTGCCTCTTTCCACACTACTCATTACTGAAATGCGAATCCAAGGAACCATTTTTAGAAAATTGTATTTTACCCATTTACCTACGCAGGTTGATACCATAAAACTTTACCTACCTATAACTGGCACAATTTCACCTTGATTATATAGTCCCTATTCAGATATCTTGAAAGAAAAAATTGCAGTCTATAAAATAATAAATAAGAAGACTTAATTCCGGTGAATTGTTTCAATATAATAATCATGAATTTTCTTCATTATGTTTACCGCGCCTTAAATAATGTTTTCCATCACCCCGATCGTAGAGTTCATGTTACCGGGACGTCCGAAGCCGGGATGTACATTGTTGCCGGGACTGCCCATCGCCGGGATACACGAAGCTGGGAAGTAAATGGTCGCCGGGATGGCTTGTCTTTGGGAAATCGGTGTCGGGATGGTCATCGCCGGGATGGGAAGCGCCAATAACCTGTCCCAATAGCCGATTGTGTAAAAAATTTGGGCATTTCTATTGATTGTAAATTAAGGTTTACTAAGCACATTGACAACCTTATTGCTTCGGCTTATTATCAGTTAAGATGCTTGTATTCTAGTCGTCACATTCTTGGCATCAAGCAGAAGGCTGTTGTTTGTGATGCACTGGTTCTATCACGGTTCAATTATTGTGACGTGGTATATGGACCGTGCTTATTACTCAAAGACTGTGATAGAATCCAGCGTGTCCAAAATTCATGCTTGCGCTTCATATTTGGAATTAGGAAGTTCGAACGGATTTCACATACCTTACCAATGCTAGGCTGGCTCAATATGATGGAAAGAAGGCTAGTTCACTCTTCTTTATTTTTTCATAAAATTTTAAACAGTAAAATTCCCCCGTATCTCTACCGCAAAATTACCTTTCGTACAGACGTGCACCACTTAAATTTGAGGCACAGGGGACTTCTATCTGTTCCTATGTTTAAATTATCATTATTCAAACGATCTTTCTTATTCAACATCTGTAAATTTTGCAACAACCCCAAAAATACAAAATTACTGTATCTGCCTGCTCTAGTGTTCAAAAGAAACATCAAACATCGAATCATTAGAGAGCGAATGTTAATGCGAACGTAATTGAAACCACTACGATGTTTCCGTTGCATCTCCAAACGATAAGCTGCCTGTCAATAATTGTTTACTTTACAAATAACTTTAACTAATGCAGAATAACTTTATTTATTTGTATTTACACAAGGGGGTTTCAAGGGGAAGAACAGGTGACCATATCAACGGGTTTACCTGACCTTGTGCCCATTGGTTATGGTGTAGGAACCATTATTTAACCAATAAAAACCATTATTATTATTATTATTATTATTAATATGACCGTGACCGTGTAGATACACTTTACTACACTTGCGTTCACTGCAAGGTCTCTGGTAAATAGATGAAAACTAGTATAGCAGTGAAAAAGATTTATATAAGCGAATATTAGATAATGTCGTCGCATTATCACGAAGATCAAGCCAAGAGTGGAGTTATAGAAAACTTGTTTTGTTTATTGTCCTCTTCAATTCGAAATGTGAACATTTGAAATTAATTGAACGGAACGTATAGGTAATGTAATTATTTGAACTGTTCCCTCCTTGCTGGCAGTAACTTCAATCATTTAAAGCATATCACATAAACTAAAGCAGTATAACGTCGCAGCTAAACTTGTAGGAACCTGGGATCATGTAGTTACTAGCTAACGAATGAAATTCCGATTCCCTAAAATTGAGACGAAGATAAAACGAAATATTGAATTTGTCTGAACTTTTCTGTTCGACATGTTATTTATTTTTCGACTTACCCTATAGACATTTGTTACTTTACGCTTTATTTAATGTACTCACAACGTTAATCTAAATTATTATTAACCACATAAACTCGACCCAAAATGACCGACTGGTTGCTTTCGCTGAGCAACGAAGAACAGACAAACACAGGTAACATTGCGTTCATCGATTGGCATAATGAATCACGTAAGTAAAAAACCAAAACGGCCCATATAAAGTGGCAGGACGTAAAAGATAAGTGGAACATAGCACTGCTCCCCAAAGTAAGAAGGGTTAACATCCGTTTTATTGTGGCATTTGTGTAGTAACTTGCGACAAAAGCATTAACTCAAAGTGGAGTCGTTGGTTTGTTAAGGGTTACCGTATCAATCATCATGGCACCAATGAAAAACCACAAAAACTATTCTCATATGTTATTAGAAGCGATTGCTATGGAAACGAAAATGTGGTCTGAGATTAAAAGAAAATGATGCCTTTTGGAGCGGAATGGAAAGCTGTACTTCATTCTTAAATCATAAATTCTATTGTTACTGGATTTCTCTCCCTTTTGACTTTTATGTTATGAGAGGTTTGATTAATCACGAAACTCAACATACAAAACCGAGCCTGAAAGGTTAATGGGTAGAACAAAATCAACAACGGTTATTTCCCGTCAATTACGAATGCAGGTGAAAGTAATACGAGAAATGGTCACTCAAAACTTAGATAATAGTTTAACTACTGATTAGTGATGCGAAGCAGGTTGCTATTTAATTTAAAAATGTTGAAATTAAACATTAAGACTATCACGGGGCGGTAGTTTACATGCATTTTTGTGGCACGTTTCTTATAATTTAATTCAATTTTTGTAAACCTTGAACTATTTTGTTTAATAACGTTAATGGTAGCTGATGTGGGTCATGAGGAAAATCAATAATTATTTTGGTAGTTTAATCGTTTATTTCATAACCCACGTTTTTAGGTATCTCTTTATATTTTAGCTTTTTATGCCCACGTAATGTATAAGTTAAGAAAAGGTATTAATAAATGATTACCGGCGACATCGCGTATTTAATCCTAATTTATTCGATGGCGCCTTCAATTAAGTATATAATTTTACCTTGATCCAAGAACTTTTCTAGAAATTTGGCCATCCGATTCATTGTTTTCCGGAGTTGGTAGGGCGAACACGATTCTCGCAAAAATGAGTGTCAGCAACATTTGAAGTATCTGCAATAAAATTGAAAGTCATTAACAATGCATACGAACGAAGATGCGATCCCTGGACTGGGTGATACATCATAATTCATAATCAAAGTGCCACTTTTTGTGGCATAATAACGGATTAGTTTAAATATGATGATAAGATCAATCCGCTTATACCTAAAGCCCGCATCTAAATCTTAAATTACTTATTAAAACAGTGTGGCATGAAAAACTTTTCACTAATTAAAAAAACAATGCATTGGTTAACAAAACACGTAACACACTCAGTATGAAACAAAATATAGTATATAGAATAACGAAATAGACGTAAAATACTCAATAAAACCTAAACTTGTACGTATTGGAAGCAGAAAGAAACTGAAAACGGATGACGAAATAAGAAGGATTAAAGGGTTTATTCAAAATTTAAATAAACACACAAATGCAACAAAACTGCATTAGCAGTTTATTCATATATCCAGCATCCAACATAGCATCTCACAATCACTCATTTAAATAGATATCCTGCTAGGAGCTTATTAATTCACTAATTTCCAATTGCACCGCCAAAATTAAGTGCTGTAGTTTTAACAACTGGACATACGGGTCGGATGTTAGGGCAGCTTTTATAAATCGATCGAAATATCATCAACCGAATATCGGAGAACTTTCGGGTTTTCGGCATTATATTCGTACTACCGTTATTATTCCTGCATCGCTTAGTCTGTAAGCTGAAAGCCATTCCAGAAGTTGACGATTTATGAATTTCCTTGTCATGTCATAATTTGTGTATGAATGTCAGTTTTGTGTGTAATGCAATAGTTATAGGCCGCATAGGCAATTTCAAGTAAATTCAGATTGAAAAATTGAAAGGCGGAGAGAACTCTGCCGATTAGAAATATCCTGTACTGGCATATTTGGAGCACGAAGATCTGTTAAAGCACAGGGTAAATGAAACACCGGTTGAGGTAGCTCTTTAAGTAGACTCAGTATGCATCAATTCCGACGAGGTTAAAACAGCGAAAAAAGTGAGGAAAAAAAACTGAGGTGAATAATGCTTTGTGACCGATCAGTTTTTGTTCACATTCGAGATGCGAAAATATTGTCTGATTTATGAAAAAGATTGTGTAGTAGATACATATGAATATAAAGCAGGAATCGCTCTGTATCTACAATTCCATTCGATTCGTTTGATGGATTGTGAATCGACCCAAGAGTACGTACGGAAATTTATGGACACAGCACGGCGATTCCAAATTTTTGATTGGGAGTAGGTAGCGTTAATGCACGGGTTTACCAGAACGTTATCATCTAGAGACTTGCTATAGTGTTATAGAAAGTCTCTGTTATCATCCGATGATAATGGCCATCGAACATTCGGGCATAAAAAGCACCGCGGAAGAAATTAATACAAAATTACTCAATGATTTGAATTGTCAAAGTTACTGATCTGCCACATCAAAAATACGCTGAAATCATGTGATCGGTACATCAGAGACTTTTTTTAACTTGTTTATTTACATCGTCACCTTAGAATATTACAATTAAATTAAATTTCTTGCAAGTGGCGGCGGCGTACCGTAGCTCTGTGTTTGTTTTTGATGACTAATGGCCGGTTTTCCGGCAATAGCTGGTCATACAAAGAGAGGTTGACCCGCCGGTTTTGGAATGGCGCAGTTTAAACGTACAGATTTGTTTGTAAGTTAGGGGGTAAGCACGCACTAGATTCAACCAGGACAGGGTTGTCTGTCAGTGACGCTTCAAACTGACCTATTTATCTCTCCCAGTTTAAAACGGCCGATCAACCTCTCCTGTGTCTGACCAGCTAATGCTGAAACCCATTTTAAAATGGCAAACGAAAGCGGGTACAAACAGCTCTTTGCGTTTCGGTCACTGATTCACTATGTTTAAAGAACGCTTCAATGACGTATCCACGTTGCTATCAGACCAAGGCATATTGTCGACTAACAAATACTCTTCTTTTAGCAGTGATTCATTTTAGCCCAGGCACTTTAGACAAAAAAATGCCCTAAATTAGACAAAATTAGTAACTAGCTGATTTTTGGTGGGGTGTTAGTAAGTTAGTAATAAGGTAAGTATTTTCTGAAAATTCCCCTTACTTCCCCCGCTTGCTTCACCCGGTACAGCGATAGAAAGAGATGAATAAGTAATGAAATGGCACCGATTTTGGTGGTCGTGGTCTTAAATTATTCAAAATGACAGTGGTTGTGCTAAATAATAACCACTGCATAATCCATAACATTTTGAGGTGTTTTATTTGTAATTTTATGTAAATTTTAGCAATTTTTTAACCACAAATCCATGCAGCATAATTCTCTATAGCTTCCTCTAACACTGACTTTGTTGTTTTCCTCATGTAACGCCCGTCAAACAACGATGGTGCGGCTTCGGAGCGAGCTCATACGAGATATTCCTTATGGTCCTCTGGACATTTCGACATGCAAGTGATTCTCATAAAAAGCTGATAAGGGTCTACTCGTGTCTCCCTGCGTCTGATTTTTAATGTGCCGTTTACGACGCGATGTTCAATAGTTTACCTCGGTTTTACCTCCCGCACGTTACTTATACCTAAGGGAGATATTTCAGTGGGGTCAAAAATGACCCCTCACTCCTTTGACGGAAATACACGTTTTGAAGCACCAGGATCCAGGAATCAAACATCAAACAAAATCTCAATTATGTCGGGCTGTCGCTCTGTCGGTCCGTCTGTAGGTACTCTCATTAGCGGCTAAACGGCTGAACCGATTGGACTCAAATTTGGTGCACATATTCTTAGAAATAAATTGGTAGAATTGCGCATACGCAGGTGTGCGGGTGGTATCTATGCTAGACATTGCAATTTTTTTATGTTTCATTGTAACGTCACAAACGTATCAAACATTTTAAAGAAAAAGTTTAAAATGCCATGAATTGTTGTAGTGGTTATTCTTTAGCATAACCACTACTATTCTGAACAATTTAAGTCCGCAACCACCAAAACTGTGCCGGAGATGGAGCGCAATAGCGATATTATTGTATTCGCGTCACTTAAGTCTTTTTTATCCCTCTACCGGTTGAAGCAAGCGGAGGAAGTGAGGGGAACTTTCAGAAAATACTTACCTTATCACACTCTAACAACTCACCAAAACTCAGCTAGTTACTAATTTTGTCTATTTTTTAACCTAAAGTACCTGGGCTATTTGGCATTTAGTTGATTTTATGTATGATATAATAAAGATAATAAAGATTATTAAGTTATTATTTATCCCTTTACCCTGATCTTCGAGGTCAGAAGAGGATTATTAACCGACGAGCAGCCGAGGCATATAAATATAATTATACAATAAGAACCACAACCAATTTCATCAGTCAGTAAGACAGACAGACACATGAAGGAAAAAAGAGGATATAAGCGCTTGCTATCTTAGTAGATTGCGATAAAAATATTACAAAACCAGTTTGTGGTCAATTCCATGTAAGAGAAACAGCAGGTTTTGGATGCACGCGCACGCATTTATCTTAAAACGCAGAGCAACACGTGATTGGTAGAAAGAAATGTATAGAAGTTAAACTGGATAAATTTTCGACAAGTTTATTTTTAATTGTTTTCTCTGACGACTGCAGTCCAGACATACTTTTCATTGAGTCTTTTTCGATTTCAAAAAAAGAATTGTATTGATCTTGAGGTAGCTTATAGCTCTGGCACTGGATTTTGTTGAAATTTTAACCACATACACTTCTAGTAAAAGCAAACTATGGGGTATATAGTAAAAATCAGATGCGCAAACTGCGCAATGTTAACTTTTTTATTAATGGAGATATTTTATTGAAATATTAACGATAAATTCTTGTATTAAAAGCAAACGTATCGCATATTGTGAACATGAGGTTAAGATCGCATGCGCAGAATGCGCAATACCAACTGTCTTATTTATCGATATATCTTTTCGAAATTTGAATCACAGACGCTTCTGTTAAAGGCAAACATATCTCATATTGTAAACATTAGATGTGCGCATGCGCACTCTATCCGCATTTTGCGCAGCGCCAAATTTCTTACTTATGACTAAATTTCTTTGAAATTATAACCATAGATGCTTCTAGAGCAAAGAAAAACATATCACTACTAAAAATCGAAAATTGCAAATATCATTATAGCACACGCGCAAGGGAATATGGTAGCCCCCGACAAAATTTTACTGATGGTGGAGTCAAAACTTCAAACACGAATTGCGGGTGTACGGCTAGTGGGAAGCGGGTACCGTCAAAGTAAATGTGGTAGCCTTCGACAAGATCTTATTGATGGTGGAGTGAACATAAAAAATACAAAAATGCGCCGAAGCCCTCTCTTCGATCTCACACGAGGACTGATAATATTTTGTATTAGTCATATTAAGTGTGCAAGTTCGTGTTCAAGTATACTAGTACAGTTTAAGTCACGTCTTAAGATTATAAAATGAATGCCTTTCAAACATAGCCAAGAAGTATCAAAACTCGTCACTTGACTTGATGAATGACTAAATTTTTGAATAATGCAATATCCTCTTATTGTTATAGTAAATCCTTGAGTAAATCGCTACTGGCCAATTTTGTTGTACCTCTTAGTTTGATTATAGTCGTATAAATTGTACACTGAGCCCATTGCACTATTATATAAGAATTAAGAACCTCACAAGGTAACAGAAAACAGTAGAGGGTTGTTATAAAAACACGCGTAGTCTTAGCAATGTGCCCTAAATTACTGAATTCATTATGTTATGCGTCAATTTAGACTTCTATCGTTGAGTGAAGAAATCCAGATCACTCAACGCTTCTATCCTTAGTAAAGAGTTTCTTGTGATCGATTTTAAGCAGTGTGTTAGAAAATAGAGAAATGTTACAAGCCCTCGATTAAAACATGTATGGACACGAGGAAGAACTAAAATTTTCAATAGTCTGCCAATTACCATTAAAACGACCAGCAACATCCATACGTTCAAATGTAATCTAGTCAATTTTCTTTTAGATAAAATGTGCACCTCGGTAAGTAGCAAACCGTTAATTGTATTTCTGTGCTTATTGTTTCATTGTTTTATTGTATGTTTGTACTCACATTATTTGACTTCGTCCTATACATTTTTATGTCGTAACAGGATTAAATAAACATTATTATTAACGACTTATAGCATGAATATTTTACTTGAAGTGTAGGATTGAAAATTTGGATTAGAAGTCTACGTGGAGGTTAAAATTATGCATGTCAGAACGGTCCGTAGATTACCGTTTAGCATATCCCTTGATTCAATAATTACGTAAACTTGAATTAATCCAGTCACGAATCCAGTTATGGGTAGATGCAAAAATGCCTACAATCGATCTATAACGTTATTTTGTGCTATTAAAACTCTTCCTTTGTGTCAAATTGTTGTGAATTTCAAATTAGGTAATTAACAGAGGTTACTCAACTATTTTTTTACAAGAAGTATCTGTGGATAATTGGGTGCAAAATAATTAAATTTATATATTTTAGCCATTTGGTCCCAGTTTTGACATATTTAAAGATAAAGATAGTTTCACTAGCTAAGTTTGCATAGTCGGAAATAGCAGGATTTTTATGAATATAATCTTTAATAACTCCTTTACAAAAAGTTTAGAAGAAGTTTCATATCCAATAATTTTGTTTTAAAACTGAAACACACTAAAAAGTTAGGACCATATTTTAGTGCATGATACATTAACGGTTTTTTTCATATTTAAAAAGGCATTGTGTACCTATTTGATTGCACACAACACCGTTTTTATTAATCATCAATTATAATGCAATAAAGAAAGTTGGTTCGCTATGTTATATAACTATAAAAAATTGACCTTAAAATGTTAGACGCTGGCGTAAGCCGTTTATTGTAAAAATCCTCATTGAGGATTCGATATGATCAGGTAAACGTTTGTGTTTACTCTGACCGGTTATTGTATGGTACAGCTATTTAAACAGAATTACGTAATGTTTTTTAGGAACAAAATCAGTAAAGAAGTACTGTATATTTGAGTAATTTATTAACTTTAAGCCCTGGATACGTTTTCTCGAAGATGGTTACGTTATAAATAATACAGCTTTAGGCGTACGGACAGAATGATTAAGTAACTGGAACCAATGAATTTAATGAACAAAAAAAGTTGACCAAGACAGATCACCAGTGAACTAGGTCATTTGGTGTACCAAAAAACAAACGCAATGTGGATATAAATCAGACCTAACGTAATTGGCAGTACATCTACTGGAAATGCTCCGTAATAATAAATTCTACCGTCCATCTTGAGTCAATTACCCATAGGTGAGTGAGGGGATGTTTTTTGAGTTTATTCGAGTAAAATTGTTTTTGCCAATTAAAGACTGCGCTTGATGGCAACATCTATCTACTTTGGTTCATTAAACACGGAACCATGTATTCATTATCACGTTAGATAAGTGCAACAAATACGTTTTATGAAAATTTTTCATAACCACGCTAATCTGTAGGTACTAAGTAAGAAGCAACCACCATATAAAGGTACTCACAGTTTTATTGAACTAATTTTTTGCTAATGTGAAGATCAATACTTCAGGTCAGGTACTTCTTCGCGGCGCGAAGTCAATGGCACAACTGCTACACGACGGTCAGGTGTTCGACCTTGACCGCTGGACCGTGGAAGATGCAACCGAATAGATTTGTACACACCTCTTCTATTGCAGAAAATAACATGAATAATTTCAGTACGTGGACGATCACGCATATTAATGGATTGAGTACTTTCTTCTAAAATTGCATTTTGTTATGTTCAGGAGAAAATATATTTTGTTATCATTCCATTGATGAGAGGAACTAACGCAAAGGTGTCGAAATTGCACTAATTTGTGGTTCATCGTTTGCCAATTTCGCTTTCGTGCAAACGTAAACGTTCATTCATGATCACCAGACAAAAGGTTGTTTGGTACGCACAATGATAATTTGTGTACGATTTGCTGATTAGTGTTCTTAAAACACGATTAATCCATTTATTTTGTTGCCCAACGCTAGCAGAACGTAGGTACTTGTTTCTGCGCTAAATTAAAACCACACTTTTGTGAAAGGTACACTCAGAGTGCGCTCGTGATTATCTTAGCAGAGGCCGATGAAATGTGCTATTTTAAGGTAGAAATGAAGTACTCAAAAATCGGTGCTGCTTTAGCGTGCGGTCTACCGATAGGATGCGCTCTACCTGTACAAATACAGCCACTAGCGTGCGGTCTACCAATCGGGTGCGATATATTAACACTTTATATACCACAAAGTTAAAGTATTTACACCAGTACATACAAAAGTTAAGTTCCTCCACCACTTGATCTATGCGAGAACAACAGTACATACCCCAGTTGCGGATTAGAAAGCAGTCAAAAAGCCAGGAAAATAGTCATACAACAAAGTTACAGTATTTTATTTCAGTGATACAAAAGTCAAGTTCCTCCACCACTTTATCTATATACAACAAAGTTACAATGTTATTTAATTACATACAAAGGTCAAGTTTTTCCAACACTTTATCTATATACAGTTCTCATATCACCTAAAAATGCGTCAAATAAATCACCATTTTTTCTCCACACATTCCAACAGTAGTGATCCAGATGAGATTGCAAAAGTTCTTGCGGTACGCTTCTTTTTTTCTTTAATATGCTAATCTTTGCATCCAACCATGACCGCTCAATACTTTGAGTATTGGCTCCGGTGGCTGGATCCACATAATTTTCTTGATGGTTCACCGTAAAATGAGGATATCCCAGAGTATTTAGGGTTCTGTAGGCAGGCCATTCGTCGGAATGAATTACTGAGCCAGCTTCGCATTCTCGCTGAATGATTGGTATTAACGTATTACGTTCACGCCGTTCAACATAAAAATATCGACAATCAGTGCCTTGCTTTAGCCCAAATACCCAAGGGCCATCTATACGCCGTCCATGGTTGCGATTATTCTGAATTTCTACATCGCTGTCTTCAGATACAGGTGCACCATCACCGGCTAGCATCCTTCCTCGATTATATTTTCGTCGTCCAGCAAATCTTGCTTCGTCGATTTGTATTGGATTGTCGTCATCGCCAGTCATTCTTCTCCTTGTTCGAATAATGGATCCGCACACCTCTCGGCACATGTTGAACCAATCGGTAACCGTTGCAGATGATTTTCCAGTTAGCGTGACCGTACTGTTCGTTGGGATCTCCATCACAAACAAGAACACTAGCTCCAAAATTTCGCACAAACTCAAATTACAGTGTAATCTATTGTTCACATCAGTGTAATGAAAAAATTTCCTTTACGTACAGAGCGGGAGGTTTGGCAGCCTTTACGAGGACACCTGAATATAGGCCTGTATTCTCCATTTCTGTCGCGTCTTCTTTTCTGCTGCATTTCACTGCCACATCTGTGACATGGTTCTACATCCTCCGCTGCATCCAAAAGTTGTCTTTCTTGCAGATAAGCGGCTGCCAATTCTTCGTTTAGAATAACGTTATTGTAAAAATCTTTCAGCAACATGATCAGTATTGAAAATGTCCGAGTACTGAAAGTCAGGGCTGTGGAAATTCACTTAAGTACAATCATTATCACCCTGTTGTCCAATAGCGGTCGATGGTTGGGGTGATTATAAATAGGTGATTAACGAAAGCGGCATAATGATAGAAAGCTGTACTTTCATCCCATTATGGATGCAGTTATTCTCGTCATAAACAAATTTTAAGGGAATGTTAATTAATGCTATCTTATGGGGTCATTAGTGACTTTAAATAAATTTAAATAACAGCACCCCATAATGAGCCTATTAATCTCTTTCTTATAATTACATTAATAAACCTTAGCTAGAAGATTATACGATAATAATAAAAAATAGCAATTTATAATTGCCGTAATTTGGTTTTTGAATTTTGGAAACACTGTTTATTTTTGTGATGGAGATCACATGCTAGGTGCTAGATACATTCTTACACTGCAGACCTCACGCTATAGTGTTATTCATATTGGTAGACCGCACGCTAAAGCGGCACCCAAAAATCTTTATAAAGCCGTCACTTTCGACCTGTTTATGAGAGAAACATTTTGGGCCCTCTCTTTATTCGCAAAAATTTGTTTGGTCCTTTCTAACACCAATTTATACACTTACTTGTGTTTAACAGATGACGATAGAAGCTCAGAAGGTAAAAAACAACAGCGACTTTGTGAGAATATGGTCTGAAAGCTTCAAGAGACCAATGGCTAATTAAACAAAGAAGTATTCTACTAATCATAACTCTAAAAAGGGGTTCACTATTGCTTTACTTGGTTTTTCATTTACTAAAAACTCGTATTCCTCCCCAGTCCCCATTATTGACTCTTTAAATAAAGTTTCTGCACAAAAATGATCCTGATCTTTGTCCTATAATTAACACAAAAATCACTTGACGTTGAGGCAACACGCAAAGCATGTAACGTATTGCGGCGGTATTACTATTTGTGCGCATTTGAATTGGCAACTGCAGTGGAACTGGATTTTTGTTTCTGGCAATTTAAAGGCAATTAAGACTTCATTAGCCTAATTCGATCGATCGTCTGTGTGGTGTGGTATGTGTCTCTGGCCCTGAGTACCATTTTTATTTGCAGCGTTGTTTGTTTATTATTGAATAAATTTGTGTTTTGTGTAAAAGAGGATTTTAAGCGTTTCATGTACATTGTTTTGGTGAGTATTCATTTAGAACAGATTCTCACGTCCGCCAGAATTCAGTAATTTAACCAAGAAGAATATCAATTAAGTTTAGCAGTATAAATAAGGAAATGCTAGCAAACCCGGAACAGTTGCTACACTAGGAAGCAAAAAGTAAACCCATTCAAAACAAAAGTATGCAGTCTTTGCATGGACGAGACGTCAGCATTTCCTCAATAACAATAGAAGTAAACTAGCATAAGGAAGTAATGTCTGTGATATAAATAGCGTATAAGAATCTGCAATAAACATTATCAATTCGCAAACGGTCAAGTGAAGTACCGAGTTGTCGAGATTCAAGATAATCCTCGACCGATATTTTACCATTGTGTAAGATTCGCTTGGGAGCGCTAGGATTTACGACCCTAACGCTACATTTGGTCCTTCGAGCCTACCAACAAATTGGTGCAGCGCTACCACAACGGTTCCGGTTCCAGTCTGGTCATTTAAAGTGCCCAAGAAAATTCAACAAATATGGTACCTAATGGTGTAACTACGGAGCAATTGGCAAAAAGCGTGCAGAAGTCCCATTCCAACCTGGAGAAAGAATCTGGAAGGGTCTGACAAGTATCTCCGGAAGCTAGGGACGAAATCATCCACAAAAAAAGAAGTGAGTTGGAAGTGCAATGATCTACATTCAACCAACGCCACTCACAAATCATGGTTCTGCAACCACCTCACCAACAATTTCTACAAACAAACACATGAATTGGTCATGGAGTACATGGAATACCTCAACACCCTGTCCACGGCAGCTCCGGTGAGCCCAAACGAGACAACATACGACAAGGAGGCGAGGTAACCGAGTTAAATTCCAAGGAAATAGCGATGGGAACATTGGCACCCCCAGTCGCAAACATACCGTCACTAACGGTTACAGTACATGAAAAGCAAGGTTGCCAGGAGATTCACACGAACCCTCAGTTACGTAGGCAACAAATTAAACTAGACCGGCTTACGAGACTCATCCAGGACACACGGGCCGACCTGGAGGAGGAACATCACAACGACTATTGGCAGATGAAAAAGGTGGAGATTCCCAAGCTCTGGGACGCCATCCAAGACGCTCACGCAGCAATCAGCGAAGTACTTGAAACGTTAGCGACCCAATACGAAGTAGCAAGAGATTCAGTTCACCAAATCATGGTGGAGCTCTGCGAGAAACACTCACGAGAAGAAGGGGGCTACGACACTTTTCGTCTCCGGCGGATACAGATTCCGCAATTTGGGGGCGACTACGAGACATGGACCAGCTTCCTGACCTGTTCGAAAAAATGGTGCACTTCAACAAGAGGTTATGCAAAGTGGAAAAATGCAACATTTGAAAACCAGTCTAAAACGCGAGGCCAGCAAACTACTACAGCACCTGTCGGTATGTGAAGCCAACTACAAAGACGCGTGGATGCTGCTAACGAACCCATAGCAGAATAAGCGTCTACTGCTATCCAAGCAACTGAACAACATCTTCAACCTACCAAAAATGAGTCCAAACGCGCCAAAGGGACTTAAAACCATCCATGACACAATTGCCGATAGCCTCCGCGCAATTAACAACATGGGTGTACAAATGAAGTCCTGGGTCATGCACATCGTATACGACAAGATAGATGCGGCAACATTGGCCGCTTTTGAGAACACCCTACAAGCACCAAAAGAGGTATCTTCATTCAAAATCTTCTTAAGCTTCCTAGAAACACGGTTCCAATCGTTGGAACTTACCAAGGGCAATCAAGCCGATGCTCCTAATCTAGTCCATGGAGTTCGATCTGGATCCATGGAAAAACGTGATGCTGGCAGACCCAACCCTTAACGAATTTGGGCCGATAGACTGTACTTCTAGGCGCCCAAGATTACGCAACAATAATCATGGAAGGCG